TGATTATATGGTGTTGTAATAATGGTGCATTTACAATGAAGCAAAGAGCCTCTATTTATAGGCTAAACAAGTTATTAGCTCAAGGGTCATGTTTGGTAAATGGCTGATCAACCATTTTTTTAGCTTATTTGACCACTTTTAGCCGGTTTGACTAGCTAAGGTGTCAAATATTGTGTTTGTTAAATGGATGTTGAGTTCAGCTGGTGGCCCTCCAAGAAGCCAACATCTAAACGCTAGCAATAGCAGCGTTTCACTTCGGCTGCTTGGTACATCATTATTAAATACCCATTAAACCCTTTTCTCTTTTTCTTGTTATTCCTTTCCTTGGCACACTTAGCTCAGTACGTATACCGTGGGATCATCCCACGGTGAGCACCATGCTCCCCACCCAAAACGACACAGTTTTGCACACACTTTTTTAAAAAATAACGCATGAATAGTACACGCGTGAACAGTACACGCGTACGTGTACAGTACTCTTTTTTCTTTCATTTTGTCCCAGTAGCGTTAATGATGTAAGTCATGTGTAAAAAAATGTAATTTACGCTATCAATCAATGTAACTCAAGTCCAGTTGAAATGTAACTTGTCAAATACATAGTATAGGAAGATAAAACATTAATTTCAATGTAAACAATGAAAAAAGAGAGTCTTATTGCACAATTACTTTACTTAAATTGTGGATATGTTTTGTTTTTTTAATATCATGACCATAAAAATGATTTAAAAAAAAATCTTTTTTTGTTTTAATAGTAGGGGTTGATTTTTTGGTGTAACTGATGGTATTACAAATGTAACTCACGTAGATGGCAAATATAATATAGGTGTATACAAATGTAACTCACGTATTAAAAGATGTAACTCTCTTATAAAAAGATGTAACTCAATGTATTATGAAATGTAACTGGGATATACGATTACAGAGTATATTTTAACCTTAATTATATGTATATATACACACTCCGCATATAAAATTGACTTCCGTGCTTCTCTTCAAATACTCCGTATATGTATGAATGTATGAATTTAATTGGTGGGTGGGATTCAAATACAGTATGTATTAATTTACTTTTGCTGGGTGGGATTCAAATACAGCCGCAGATTTTAAGGAGCCGTCTTCTATATCTTCTATAAGCCGTGAAACACAAGAGCGCGCAGGCTACGAACAGAGGTAGCTGGAGTGAATCTCAATCCGGAGTGGATCTGCTATGGGGCATCAACACAGGCAAAGAAAGTACCAGCGACGCTGACCATGCGATTGGAACTCTCCAGTCAAGTTGCTCTCTTTTTTAATTAACAAAACTATGTCGTTTTGGGATCGGCACACCATGCGCATGGTGGGCCGATCCCACGGTATAATTTGCGCACTTAGCTCCTTTAAACATCTACGGAGTATTGAATACGGAGTAAGTAATGACTACCCAATTCATTAAATTAGTATTCCCAACAACAAAATGCTACGGAGTATTAAAAAAAATGCTACGGAGTATCATGTACGTAGTGTATTCATATGCTACGGAACATAAAAATCATCATTTAATTCGTTTTCAAGCTAAACTAATTTTTTTCATTCAAATTCTGTTGGGATCCCTCCTTAATTGGAGAGGTTCTAGAAAATTCTAGAGCTTTCTAGATAAGTATAGAATTTTCTAGAACGTTCCGGAGAATCCTAGAGAAGTCTAGAACTCTCTAGAAGCTTGTGGAACAGTGTGGAATCCTCTAGAATATTCTAGAGATGTGTGGAACCTTCCGGAAGCCTATGGAAGAGTATGGAAGCATATGGAAGAGATAGAGAGGTGTAGAGATTCCTTGGAATTCTCTAGAATAGGTAGTCATATGTAGATCATTCTAGAGAACTACTCTTCACCACTCATTATGGAGGTGGAGTTGTATAAATAGGAGTAGGAGCCTCCATTCCTAAACCATCCTAGCCAAGAGTGAATCCACTTCTAGAGTGAGAAAGTTAGAGAGCCTCTTTGAGAGAGAAGAGAGATAGCTTGGGAAGACATCATCCTCAAGCTTGAGTGAGCCACCATTGAGTGAGACAATTTTGTAACATCCTTGTATACCCTACTATTCTTTTGTATAGTGGAAGAATCTCCATATTAGAGAATTTAAATCGTGTGCTCCCATTGCTACCTTATTTCCTAAGTGCCTATCTTAACTTCACGAAACGGGAAAGTCCGGAGTGTTTTTTTCCCAACAAATTCATTGTTTAGTTACTCTTTTAAATTTTAATTTGTTTTATAATAATTGTAATCAACATAATTTTTACTTTTATCACTAACAAAAATAGCAAGTATACTGTATTAAACCACGTTTAATTCCCGTAACGTATTTAACTAACTAGTATACTGTATACATACAATAATGTCCTTAAACGTCTTTTTACTTCATAGTAGCTATTCCTGTTCAGCTAATTTATCAAACAACTATTTATAAACAGCTAACATAATCAGTCATTCATAGTAGCTAACTCAACCAGCTATTATCAAACAGCTAACTTAATCAACTAACAGTCAACAACCGATTGCCAAACAAGGCCAAGATGAGGGATTAATATTAGTCACATAATCATTATCTAGAAATCATAATTGTAATTTCCAATTATCTTGATAATGATAATAATGACTTATTAATCATGAATCGTTGGAAGATACCTAGTTCATTATATTTCAACATCAATATATTTATGTATAGATTTTTAGTCAAAATAAGAGTCTCCAATCTATTAAATTCAGGTCGCATATGAGAAATTTTATCATATCTTTGACATGTAACTTTGTATAAGGATTATACATATTAGTGAAAATGGAATGACTTACGAATAACATGTCTAAATACAAACAATCACAATTCCGAAATCGGTTACATATATCATAATAATTAGCCGTATATGGGCACTTATTAATTTTATCATCATAATTATAAATATTATACTAAACTTTAGAGTTCTTTTATTGGCTATGCCATTCACTAGGAATTACTAAATGTTCAAGCGCTCTTTGTCCAATTGAGCTTGAGGTTCTCATCAAGAATGTGTAGGAAAGCAATCATTAAGAGATGACTAACTCTTTATTCGAGATCCTCTTTTTCACTTTTTGAATAAGTCAACAAGGTTCGTCTCAAGCATTCTAGAAAAGTAGCACGGTGTTGGTGGTGCGATTCTCTTGAGTGGACCACTCACCCCCCAAGTCTCCTCTCTGTGGGACGACTTGCATTCAAATCCCATCAAAGGGGTCGGGTATGTGAGTGTCTTTTTACTCATGAGTATGTTTACATATATTTAGCACTTATATAGTGAGAAAGTAGTAATTGAGGTAGCGGGTTCATGTGATGAGAAAAAGAACCTAATTGCAAATGGTGTAAGTATTGTTGGCTCATCAACAAAAGCCGATTAATTGGAAATGCGTGCACTTGGATAGTTGGATTATTACAAAAAATAGCAAAGTACATATAATGTGGAATCTTATGTAATTGTAACTTAGCGTTATTTGGACTATATAGGAGGTGTACAAGGCAAAGGACTTCATTCGAATAACGGGTAAAAAGCTTCCGTGAGAGGGAAGGGTTTGTTGAGTTATTGGCATTGCAAGTTGTAACTAAGTTAGAGATACAATGGTAAAGTATGATAAAACACTTTACCTCGATGAAAACCAACGAAATTCATTCCCAAATTCGATTTGGCTATAAGAAATAATTATTTGGCCTAAAGCTGGCGTTAAAGAGACGACATTCATGGGCCATGGCAACAACTCTAGAGTCTAGACTCATGAAATAAAAAGATAGGCATGATACTTTTCTCAGTTCAATAAAGATGGCGATAAAACATTCTTAACTGCTCCACGCCTCGACTCAACAGAATGGTGGAGGAGTAAATAATTAACATGATTCAAACACTTAAGAGAGATGTGAGATGATTCACGTTCTGATGTGCACAAGGAGTCATCACAATCGACGATATTTTTATAATATTGCTGACGGGAATTGAACCTAAGACTTCAATCCCATTGTTCCATTCGACCACTATTGAACTATCCGTGCCGGTAGCTTGATAATTTTCTTTATGCATGCGCTTGAGTGCTGGTTATTTGTTTAATGGCTTTTTTACATAATTTTATTATACTTCGTACTTCTAGAAGTCTTTTGTGAAATAAAATTTATGGGAAATTGTGACTACAATTATTATGAATTTTAGGATCAAACATAATCATGTCTAGTAGAACTAGTGTTGTGATAACTAAATGTAAAAAAATCAAATTTTCTATTACCTTCTTTTAGTAATGTATTTATTAAAACTTCATAATTTAAAAAACTACCTCGTGTATTACTACGTATGCTTTGCACTTTTTAAAATATTCCCATAATAAAGTACCACTCGTCCACTCATAGGTTGTGAAAGACACATAACCAGCCCTAGATTGGATGTCTCAAAGTTCAGAATACGCGGCATTTTATAATCCCCAACAATCAGCTTTGCTACGACAAATGGAAATTATGAGTAACATTTTTTTTAACCAAGCCTAATTGTAAACCAAATGAGATTAACATTAACATGTTTCTATTGAGAATGTTTTTACCTGAATTGAAATTTTATGGTCTGATTCGATCTTTTTAAAGGAGTGTTTGGGGTTGCTTAAAAAAGCGCTTTTCAGTTTTTGACTTAAAAAAAGTTGAAAATAGTGTTTTCAAATGACAGCTTCTGCTTAAATTAATTACTTAAAAGCTAAAAGCTGGAAGCAGGTAGAAGGGTGCTTTAAACTGCTTCTCACTTTTTCTATTACACAAAAAGTACTTATTTTACCAAACACTGTCAACTTTTACTTTTTCAGAATCACTTTTTTCTCAAACACTACCAACTTTTACTATTAATCACTTTTCCCAAAATCACTTTAAAACATCACTTTTTTAAAGTTCAAGCAATTGCAAACACTCCCTAAGTCTAATCTGAATTGGTTGGGTCTGATAGTTAGTTTTTTGCTCTACATGTATTTTAGAGCTGTCGATGTCTGATTTGGTCAGAAGAGACGAAAAACATGCATCACACAAAGTTGTTACACCTACACACTGACACATAGTATGAAGAGCGGCAGCAAATGAGCAACACTCAATGTTCAAAATACTTGTACAGGACAGGACGGTGGTCAAGCACCATCGTACAATGATCATATTCCGGTACAAAGTACTTGATGATTAATTACAGATGCTTGGAAAATTGGCGCCAATAAAAGGCTCAAGTGAAATTAGCTGGAAGATCATACAGCTTCCCATATTTACATACAATCCGTTCGTCTCGGTGCTGAATCACAGATCCCTTCTGCACAACGGGCACGAGCCATGCTTCAACAGCCATGGATCGATGCACGGTAAGTGGAAGATGTGATGGCAGTGCGGCAAACTTCTCGCTGTCTCCCCCAACTGAAAGTCCTGATACATAGATATGAGAATACAAGCTTTTAGACGTGGTAACTACAAAGTAATGTACAAGTCCTACAGGTCAACTTGATAAAAGAAAAACCCAAAATCTCATGGAGGTAATAGTTAAGTACCTGGAGGCACACGGAGCAAGATACTCCCTCCCCCGAAGAATCCGCAATGTTTTCGCAACATATTACAATCTTGGGAATCTTATCGACAATGTCTCCCGTCAAGCCCTTTGGCCCGCCTATGTCGAAAATGCTAGATACATCATCATATGCAGTTTCAATAGCTCCCATCTGATCAGAAAGAAAGGAACTTGTTATCAAATGAAACTATGGAAGCAAAAATTACAGTTTCCAACTAAATCCCCACACACTATGCACCAATTTAACAAAAACTGATTCTGATTATGAGAAATTTAATTTGTCTTGTCTAGTAGTAGTCTATTTATTTGTTTGGAAAATTTAGTTGTGGGTACCCTTAAGTTGTCTCACATCATTTTCTATAGGATAGATATCTAATACCTAGTACATAAGTAGGGGTAAAACTAATCTTGAAGATCTTTGGGGTAAAAATACAAAGGATTATCAGTCATACCCCATTCTGAGGGACAGAGTAATACCAGTTATTTGGCTAAAATGGCTTAATTTGCTTAACTTCCCACAAAAAGGCAACAACAATGGTAACACCCGTTTCGGCAAAAGTAATAAGAAACTCAAAAGCTACTTGTCCAAGTAAATATCAGAAGAATAAGGACAATAAGACAGTTATGGCTACAAAATGGAACACAATTCTTCAAATTTCTGATGAATCAAAAGCTAGTTATCATGATGATGAATACCTGACTCTGAACTGCACTTAGCATTGCGGGACCAATACGTTCACGAACAAGCCTACCACTTAACAGACTTGCGATCACATCAATCTGCATTAATTCAACCCATTGAACAATTCAGAAAAAGTCACACAACTTCGAAACAACGACAAATGAGAGTGAATTTTAGAGTTTGCTCACAAGGTGAATAGTTTTTAAATAAGAAAGATGATGAGAAGAGTTGTTTGGATGACTTACCAAATATAAGAGGCAACGAACCCCGGATTCATCTGACTGCCAGAGAAGGAGTGAAGACTCAAAGACCTCAAGAGAGAAAACGGCACCGGAGATTGCACCAACTGCAGCACCTCTTATGAACCCACTCTCTGACTCTTGCCCTATCAATGCTCCAGTCATTGCTCCCAACAATGTACCAACTACAACCATAACATCAAAGATTTAGCACTTAATATAATAAATCCTTCTGACCTTCTCCCCCCTACTTCAATTTATGGATATACATATATGCAATTTACATATGCAAAAAATAAATAAATAAAATCCCAAGTCCCATTGGCCAACAAGCTTCATGTTACTTCTACTTAGGCTGCATTTGGTAGCTTTATCTAGCTTTATCTACATAGGTAACTTTTAAGTTATTTATTAGGTTGAATTTAATGCCACCAAACACTCTACGAATTACAAAAAATCACCAGATTCAGTTGTTTCAGCTAAATTACTCTACCACAATGGACCCTTAAACACCAACTCTTTACCATTACGTTTTTGTTTCATTTGGCAAAAAGCTCCATAAAAGTATCTCTCTTTTTTTCACTTTAAATGTTCAATAATTCCAAAGCATATTCATTACTTTCTTGTATTTTGGCCATCAAAGAACCCTAAAGATTATTCCTTTATCCTCCTTGTCTGCCAAACAACTTCAAAGAATATTATCCCTCTTGGCCTCTTCTTCGTTTTCCTAAAACTTCTAAGGGGCGTTTGGCATTGTTTCTAATTTTGGGTCTTCTTTAAAGTCAGACTTAGAATAAGAACTTTCTGTGTGAGAAAGATTCTTCAAGGTGTCCCTAATTTATAAAAGAATAGTCCCTAATCAAGAATAAAAGAAAAAAGAAGAATTGAAGACGAGATCACAGATTCGAAGAAAAAACACATGAAACCCCTAACCATAGAAAACAAGACTAAAATATATAATTTTACTATCAGAGATTATGAACCATTTTTTCAATCCCCACAAGAAAAGCTTGAATTGGGCACTATTTTGGTAGGATAACAAAAGCTGGAAGGTTGCAATAATAATTTTATAACATACCCAAGGCAAAGAAGAAGGTGAAAATGGCAGAGAAGACATTGCCAATGACGGCAGAGGCAGCAAGGGTGAGGAATTCCTTAGCTCTCTCAGAGAAAATGCCCAAAGAAGAAGAAGCAGATGCAGAAGATGAAGGCAGAGCCCGAGATAAGCATGTGTATGAAGAGTCCATTGAAATTCTATCTCTTCCTCTTCCAATTTCCCCACAAATCTAAAACACCAATAAATTCAAGGCACCCACAGACTGTCTTCTACGGAATGGAGGAATGTTTATAATAAAGTAATAATATCCCAAAAATATCTATTTTGGGATGGTGAGGTTGTTGCATATATAAAGGCGCTGAGGTAATCTGTATATATATAGAGAGATATGGGTGTGTGAAATGCCTTAGTGGCTAAGACAAGGGAAAGGGGCAAGAAGTCGTAAAAATGCTCCTATCATTTATAGCTTCTTCTTAATAGAGTTTGGAGGGGCCATGGAAGTAATGGTTTGTGGGGCAAAAAATGTATATTTTGAGATGCAGGAGAGAAAGATAACGTCAGAAAGCCTCTTTTCTTCGGTTTTGAGTATTGACAAATGAACCACTCCGTATTTTTTTGCTGGGTTTAATGGGTCCACATTCCGCAATATCAGCCATTTTTTTCGCATTGGATTGCACCTAAATACCCAATCAAGAAAGCCCGCTAGCTTTGTTGTGTAATATGGATCATGAGTCATGACCCACAGAAGTAGGGGTGGGTTGGTACCGCGTATGGAATATTTTCTCGGGAAATTACTCTAAATAGGACTAAAAACATTTGAAAATTCCAAAATAGGACTGTCATGTTTTTATTCCCAAAATAGGACTAATTACTGCCATGTTTTGGCAGTATCAGGCTTTAAAGATGGCAGTATTTTCCAAACTTGGCAGTAATTACTCTTATTTTGGGAATAAAAACATGACAATCCTGTTTTGAAATTTTCAAACGTTTTTAGTCCTATTTCGGGAATTTTCCCTATTTTCTCTCGTACTTTTGTCGTATTAAAACTTTCGGTACATAAAATTTATATATTGTTACAATACCGAAGTTTCGGTTCGGTAACGGTACGGTATCGATAAATTACCATGCATATCTCTCAATACAACAAATTAACATAGACCGACGAAAGATATTAAATAGTTGTTACTAGCGACATATTTAATCTATTATTAAATGTTACAAAACACTCCGTACAATTAATAATCTATTGATGTCAATAAAATATTGAACAATAATCATTATTACTCCATAGTATATTTAAGTAGTTCAAAATGCCACATATTAAAAAACAACACATTCTCTTAAAATAACTTGAACAATATAGATATAATTAAATCTATAGTGATCTTTAACAAAAATGAATAAAATTAACTGAATATAAAATCATTTATTTATAATATGATATTGTGTATTTAGTTATTTTTATAATATAAAAAAATGAATAAGACTTTCGGACAAAGTTATGTGTCTCAACTCGTGGAATCTCTATGTAGATACACTCGTCATATAAGTGTATCCATCTTCACTCATAAGCTACTCAATGGCTCAGCCATCGCGACCTGCAAGCTCTTGGAACAAAATGGACTTGTTTCCGAATGTTAGTACATTACTAATTTGATGGTCCCTGATAGAGGTGAAAGTCTAGAGGGGGGGGGGGGGGGGTGAATAGACTTTTAAAGCTTTTTGGACTTTTAAAGAATTTCCCTCATAGGTATGATGATCAGAAATCTTTTGGGAGATTAAGGATCGCAGCGGAAGTCATAACCTCTATTAAACTGTGAATGGTAACTTTCTTTTGAGAAGATAAGAAGGAAGAAGTATTTGGATTTTGGACAACTTATCTTTAGTGGCAGAAATGTCTAGTAGCATAGAAGCTCTGATTTGAAGATCTTCAACTGAACGCTTATGGTATGGTGTTCTGTTTGACCAGTGACATAACCCTTTAGTGAGGTCTTCTGTCGACCTTCTTCAGAGACCCTTCAGTGAGGTCTTCTGATGACCTTGAGTCAGAGACCCTTCAGTGAGGTCTTCTGATGACCTTGAGTCAGAGACCCTTCAGTGAGGTCTTCTGATGACCTTGGGACAGAGACCCTTTAGTGAGGTCTTCTGATGACCTTGGGTCAGAGACCCTTTAGTGAGGTCTCCTGATGACCTTGGGTCAGAGACCCTTTAGTGAGGTCTTCTGATGGTGTTGCGACAGAAAATAGATCGACACAAGATGTATCCTGGTTCAGAGGTGGTGTAATCCTCCTACATCCAGTCCCACCCTCTTTCAGATGGATTTCCACTAAAGTATTCAGCCCAATATAATTAGTGACCGTCTGACTGTTATCACCAACTTGCTCAGACTTCAAGGTGTTTCACTAGGAGTACACACCACTCCAAGCTACTCAATCCTTTAGGTTTTTCTCAATTGATCCAGTGGGGATCAAAAGGTACTCTATCCTATTCTACCACACTTTAAGGACTTAGATGACGCTATCCTTATAAGTGTTTACAGCAGTTTCAATATGAAACAAATTTCTAGCCTCCAACTAAAAACTAAACTTTCTGAGTATATCAATGAGGGTTACTGTCTAGAGAGTTTAGTGAAGCATGAGTCTAAGCAGAGATCAGAGTTTAATGAACACTTTCTCTTTTGCTAGATATCTTCTTTGAATGCGTAGTATGATTTCTCTGCTTAGTGAACTCAGGAGCTTATTTTTCTTCTCATGCTTATGCCTGAATTTATAGGCATCTCTGGTTGATTAATCTCCTCCGTTGGTTGAGAGGATTTAATCTTTGTCGTTGAGGCTTTTTGTACTTTCGTCTTCTTGTGTTGGAGCAGCTTATCTTCAGACGCAATTGGATCAACTTGCTTCGCAGGAAATGTAAACCCATTCGTTAGACCTTTCACGCACTATTCACCAGCTAGTGGGTTTTTGTCTTCTTATGCAATTCTGGAGTGTCTCGTGATTATATAGCGTACTTAGTAAATTTGTGACTTTGGTCTTTTTGTATCAAATTAATTTGTACTGGTAGGATTTTAAATATCCTTTTTAAGGTAAAGAAAGATTTACCTTATTGCATTTTAATTTTCAGTACAATTAATTTTATACACAAGGTGTACATGTAAGATTGGTCACAATTTTACTAGTGACAAGAATAATTCTATAACAAAATAAATATACTGGTTGGATTTGAATATCCTTGAAAGGTAGGGTTTTACCTTATTGCATTTTATATTTCCAGTATATCTATTTTGTCACAAAATTTGTACATTTCAAATTTTGTCACCTTTCTTTTGAATTCTTCCTTTTTCGTACCTTCTTCTTTTGAGATGATCTTTTTGTTGTATGGTACGATGAGTACTTTTATCTAATTTTGGACCATACTGCAGTTCACATAATGATCATGCAATATTGAATAGAAAATCTAAACACCAAGGGAGGATGGCATCATCAAACTATATTTCATCAAAGTCTGAGGGGCCTAACATAATTGGTCATTAGGTTTTGTTTATTTCAATGTTACGTAGTAAAAGTGTTAGACCCTAGATTTTGATGAACTGTTTTGATGATGCCATAGTTTTTGTTTTCCCCCCTCTGTTGTAGCATTCTTATAAGTTACTTACAGTTGGCCTTTACTAAGTAAATTATCTAGATGTGTCTTGCTCTTATTGTAGTTAACAAATAAATATAACTGGAAAAACATGAAATACAATAAGGCAATATTTTATTGCCTTAAAAGGATATCATACTTATTCCCCAGTTACATTTATTTGTGAACAACTAACTGAAACACAAAATGCAATAAGGTAATAACTTCTACCTTAAATAGGATTTGTTATCCTACCAGTTAAGTTGTACACAATACCTGTTAAACTTCACAAACTCTAAAAGTGACAAAAACACCAATGTAAAAACTATGTACCAAATTAAACATACTGGAATTATAAAATACAATAAGGTAAATTTTTTTTTCCTTACATGGATATTTAAATCCAACCAGTATAGTTTTTATTTGGTACATAAGTTTAATCATGTCACTTTAAAAAGAAAGTGATTAGTAAAATAAGTGACAAATTTTATTGTAAAATTTGTACCAAATAAATTGTACTGGAAAGAACAAAATGCAATAAGGTAATTTTTACCTCAATAGGATATTTAAAAAAATCCTACCAGTACAAAATTTATTTGGTACAAAATATTCTAAGTCACACATTTTACTACTTCACTACACAAATTGAGCAGGTTCACGCACTTTACTACATGAGTATAGTTGCAAGACAAAGCCAAGACCTAATGGCAGGTGAACAGTGAAGAAAAGGCCTAAGGTATGGGTTGACATTTCGTACGAAGCAAGTTGGCCTTCAAGCAACACCAAAGACAATTCCTTATCCTGCTCCAACACAAGAAGACGCAAGTACAATACTTTGGACGTCTAGATTTAAATCCTCTCAACCAACGGAGGAAATTAATCTACTGGAGATGCCTATAAAAATAGGCCGAAACATGAGTTCAAAAACAAGTCATTGAGTTCAAAGCAAGTGGTTCAGTCATTACACTACGCATATCCAACAAAAAAAAAGAAAGTGCTTGAACACTCTGCTTTGACTCATGCTTCACTAAGCTCTTAGACTAGATTATTCATTGTAACATTTATAGAGCTTAGGTTTTAGTTGGTGGCCAGAAATTCCTTGTAACATTTTACAAATGGTTGTAAACACTTAGGAGAACAGTTGTTCGGATCCTAAAGTGTGGTTAGATAGATAGAGTACCTTTTGATCCCCACTGGATCAATTGAGAAAAGTATAAGGACTGAGTAACTTTGAGTGGTGTAATACTCATTGTGAAAAACCTTCAATCTAGGCCAGGGTTGTCAAGGCTAGATTGGCACTAATTGTATTGGGCTGAATACTTTAGTGGAAATCCATTTGAAATAGAATGGGACTGGATGTAGGAGGATTACACCACCTCTGAACCAGGATACATGGTGTGTTGATTTACTTTCATACATACAGAACACGCACCAAACACATCTCACTAAAGGTTTGTAGTTTGCCAGCAGCATTCTAAGCAGTAGTCTTCATCGACTCTACTGCTTCGCCTACTGCTTAATAACTCACTCTCCTTGAGAGTGTTTTCCACTAGAAGTTGTCTTAAACTCAGAAGGTAACTCAGCAGTACACTGGTCTTCACCCTCCTGCTGAGCCCACTGCCCATCCAAACGTGTCTTTCCAAACCCCATAACAAGCCAGAACAAAAAGCCATCCAAGAGTCATCCTAGTCCTCAGCAGTTGCCTCAGCAGTAACCTGCCAGTCAGCAAACTGCCTGTGCAGCAGTAGCCTAAGCAGTTACCTGCTCACCAGCCTACTGCCAAGCCTACTTCCTCTCGTAACCAGTCTAAACATCATCTAAACTAGAAAGTTATCTCACACTAAGTATAAAGAGGTTAAAGACTTCCGCTGTGCATCTATTGATCTCTCAAA